CATTACGTTGCACAGATGGCTAATTAGAATTCATTGCTGCTACTGTGCTACATGTCTAATTATGAGTACTCTGACCAAACTTACTTTAATGTCTAATTATGCTGACATTCTAATTCAGCTTACTATAATGTCTAATTATGCCAACATAGTTGGATACCAACTCCTCGGTTTAGAGGACATGTTTTTGCATTATGAGTACTCTGACCACACTTGGAGCAATGAGCTACTCTAGTTTTCCGAGCTGTAGGACCTGGGTTTCTTGGATTTGGTGGTGTTGTTCTTGGTCGCTTGCCTCTACCTCTATTGTTGTTAGGCTAACAAAGGGAACATACCAATTAAGTAAAGTCCAAAATTCAAACAAAACCTTAATGAATAAAAACACAATGGAGCTAGAGGAAGAGAACATACTAGTGGTGTTGTAGTAGTAGGAGCTGTACACGTTCTTGCATTGTGGCCTTCACCTCCACACTTCTTGCAGATGGCTAATTAGAATTCATTGTTGTTACATGTCTAATTATGAGTACTCTGACCAAACTTACTTTAATGTCTAATTATGCCGACATTCTAATTCAGCTTACTATAATTTCTAATTATGCCAACATAGTTGGATAACAACTCCTCGGTTTAGAGGACATGTTTTTGCATTATGAGCACTCTGACCACACTTGGAGCAATGAGCTACTCTAGTTTTCCGAGTTGTAGGACCTGTGTTTCTTGGATTTGGTGGTGTTGTTCTTGGTCTCTTGCCTTTACCTCTATTGTTGTTAGCCTAACAAAGGAAACATACCAATTAACTAAAGCCCAAAATCTAAACAAAACCTTAATGAATAAAAACACAATGGAGCTAGAGAAAGAGAACATACTAGTGGTGCTGCAGTAGTAGGAGCTGTACACGTTCTTGCATTGTGGCCTTCACCTCCACACTTCTTGCAATGGATCACTGACCCCTCCTCATCACCTCCTCTCCCATGCCATTTCGTTGAGGTCGAACCTCCCGCTCGTGGGCAGCCTTTTTGTGATTCTTCTTCGGTCCACCAGACATACTTCTTTGCTTGGGTGGATGCACTAGATATCCTTCGGTAGCAGGCCAAGCTTGTCTCCCGTCTATACATGGTATTCCATTCTTGTATGCGTATTCACTATTGTGTACATGGTAGGTTGAATGAACGTAATTGTCTACCCCCTTCCTCAGATGAGAAATAGCAGACACAACATGACAACATGGATTGCCGCTCAATGACCACCACCCACACGTGCAAGACTTTGCTTCTAAGTCAACAATATATAATACACCCTCCATCTTCACCTCACATTTATCATTCAATGTCTGTCATGCCATGCACAACCTAGCCAAAGCTTTCTCTTTCTTTACCCTTTTCCTAATCTCAGGGCATAAAATATCCGTTCTATCCTGCAACATCTTGTACTTCACGACAACCCTATCCATCACGAGCCCCCTAATCCCATCTAACGTATCTATGATTCACATACACCTATACTTGACAATCACTCCATTCCATGTTTCACAGATATTTGACTCAACCGAATAACACTTTGGTAGAGGAGACAGGTAAGCTCGGCAAAACGACCTAGGTTCTACATTCATGAACTCTGTAAATGGTGTGTTATCATGTTACTCACCTTCAACTTGTTCATTGTCAGAGTAGCCTTCCTCCCGTCCACCTCATTGTAGGCGTATATTGCCTTCCAGAACAATTTTTGAACACTATAGGTCTTATTTCTCACTTTCCAGTTTGCATACACGTGCCTTGTGCACTTTCTATGCTCAGCCTCAGGCAAAATCTCATGAATGGCTTCTACTAACCACTTCACAACAATGCAAACTTTAATCTAACCAACCAATAAGACACATCCAAGTAGAAGTAAAAGACCAACCCAAGACGAAGTTATCTACAGAGCTGGTTGTTTCATCCAACCTACCATATTGTTGTCTATAGTTCACTAACCATCCCCAGGACAAGAAAAAGCTACCCTCGCCACCCATCATCAATGGATCTCACATTAAACTACATTACTGAACTACTTCGCAGATTAACATATCCTTCACATTCCCCTTTTACTACCAGGTAAAGTTATATAAAAACATACCTTTTGCTGGTTCGAGATGACAGACCAACCCCTGCCGTCATGTAGATGCAAGTCCTGAGCTAAGGTGTTGACAAACCACCTCCAGGAGTTTGAATTTTTGCCCTCTACAACCCCCCAAGCAATTGGGAACATTTGGTTGTTGCTGTCCTTCCCGACAGCGGTAAGCAGCATGCCTTTAACTTCTCCCTTCAAGAAACACCCGTCCAATCCAAACATTGGACGACATGCTTCAAGAAAACCATCCCTTAAGCTCGAAAATTTGATGTACATTCGCTGGAAGTACACCTTGTCTTGTGTAGGGTGCGGTTCAACCTCAAGTTTAAAGTTCCCTCGGCAATCACGCTTGACCAAATCACCCAAGTAGGATCTGACCTTGTGGTACTCCTCTATAAGTGAACCTTCTAGCATCTTGATAGCGCAAACCTTGGCTCTATAACAAGTTCTTATCTTCAGTTCGATATTGTGCTTAAGCTTAACCTTATCCATAATTTGATCAGGAGCCCACTCAGGATTGATTCTGAACCTTTCGAGCATATCACTCGCAATCCAGCGTGCAATAACTTTATTAACATGAAGTTGTCTTGCACAAGAATGTGGCAGACCTGCCTTCCTTACCATGAAGCTCTGATTCCGCCAGAACCAGCTAGCGTAACATCTCCATTTGAAATTCTTGTCCTTGCATATAACCTCCCTACTATCTGGATTACTCCTAATCCATCTAAGACAAGCCTCGACAGCTACAAAGTGACGGACCACAACGTCCTTGAATTCCTTTGGACTAGCAAATTTCATTCGAGGCACAAACTGGAGAACCTTGTGTTCGCACATGGTTTGATCTTCGGAGAGCCTGTAACTCGAATGGTTTGATTTTTGACCCCTTGCTTCCTAGACTGGAGGTGCATCATCAATATGGACATCTTCCTCAGCTTGAGAAGCAACATGAGTTGCTCCCTCAGCAACCAACCCATCATCTTTAGAATCTTCATCATTAGATTCCTCTTCTTTAAAATCATCAAGCTACTCGACCTCCTCCCCATGGCCATCAACTCGCGTCTTCACCTTCCTTTTCTTCATCTCCCCATAAACTCGCTGATTTGCCCTTGCTTCATAGTATTCGTCGTCAGATGTATCTGCATCATTTGAGTCATATACGTGGTATATGTCTCGAGCAACAGAGGCCTCAGCCCCATCTTTTGCAGCCAAGGACACATCTGAATCCACCACAGCCTGTGGATCATTCTTCCCAAACTCTTCGTCCCAAGAATCAACCATCTTTCAAAAACCCTTTAACATGTCTTTAGTCACCACTAACCACATGATTATACAAATTAAATAGTATTTTAATCGCTACCAAACAAATGGAAAACAACAACGATTAACAATATTCAATTCTAGGGTTTTCGCAACTACAGGCAATGACAATCCTACCCAGTAGCTCGACCCACTCACCGTCAGATTTGGGGGAAAACTCTCCAAAGGATCAATCCAATGGTCCCAAGGTTCTTCTGTCGTGTCGCTTTCTTGTCTTTACAGCTTGTTACCAACCAAAAAAGGAAGAGAAGGAACAATCTATAAGAACCTTCCGCCCACAATCCATAGCCACAATAAGTCAATAACGAACCAAGAAAGTTTCCTTACCAGTCGCGACACAAGAGGGAGAGCACAATTCCACCTTTGAAGTGCGATTAGGGATTCTATGAAGAAGTACCCATGCGTCTGCTACTGTTCGATTGTGTGTTCATCAGCAAAAAAGAAGCTTCGGAGGACTCGGCCAAAGCTCATCGTAGGTTGGTCAACCCAACGGATGCATGAATGTCTTTGTCGAGGAAGGAGGCGATAGGGTAAGATCGATGAATGGAGGAAAATCGGGACTGGAGGAGGGGGTATATCGATGGTGGAGGAAGGAATAACGAGTGGTACGAGGGTCATCGGAGGCAGATCGTCAACTTCGTCGCCTTCTTCGACTCTCCCACCTTCGTCTTTCTTAGATGGGAAAAAGGGTGGGTGTTTGAAGAAGACGATAAGACAGAGGAAAATGTGGGTGTGTAAAATGAGGGGTTTTGGTTTTATAATCCATAATTTTTTTCTAATTAATTATTATCCACGTGGACAAGTAGAGAGAAAAAGGAAAATAAGTGTTGTGCAGTTAAGCCGCTTTGTTTGCCCAGTCACACTTAACAGTAACAACGTTAAGGAATTGGACAGAATTGGCTATAAGAGGTCATTCGCCAAATTTGGCTATAATTGGCACAAACGTGAAAGTTTTGGCTATACAAGTGTATTTTATTAATAAACAAATATCGTAAATCTCATGTGTCATTGTGGTGATTTTATTGGTGGATTCGGAGACTTGATTGTCCTCAATTAGAGAGATAGCAAGTGGAGCACTTTTATAATCGTTTTTGGGACTAATTTCATTAGTGCACCTAGACATTTCCAAAATATCGATTGTGTACTAACATTTTCCAAATAAAAAAATATCTTGTATTGTTGGGGTTTAAAATTATGTGTGTTCTCAAATATTTTGTTGACAGTAGAGTTAGCTGTTGATCAAATGATAATTAACCTTGTTTGATTGATTATGACTTGATTTTTTTTCATAATCCAGGAACCTCTACCCCACGTGCCAATTTGTGACAGCAGGGTCTAGTAAACCTGGGAGCACTTGTACAAGACACAATATCGGGGGACTTTGTCCCCAGCACTTAGGGATGACTCCGGGAACACACAAACGGCGCCGCTGGGGATCGAACCCAGAACCTCCCACTTCAGAAGCCAACCAGGTCAGCGGTTTCACCGCCAGGCTATGTTACCTTTTGATAGTTAAGTAGGTGGCAAGGCATGGATATATAATTTTATAAATAAAAAAATCATGCTTTTTCAACCAAAACTTAAAAAGTTTGCCAATTGTTCTTTCACTAACCATAATTAAAAAAACTCATCAGTTATTTTTTCATATTTTTTATCACCACGCTCATCTAGCTCTTCTTAGGAATGGAAGTCGAACCTGCATTCGAGTGTACTCAACCTGACCAAAGCATGTAAAATTCATTTGTAGCTGTGCTCATAAACTCATGAATACCCATACACCCACAGTTACTGTTGGGGTGTAAATATGACATAGCCCAACCGAACAATAAATATGGTCTGCCAAGCACATATGGACCCAAGCCCACGAAATACCATGAGACCCAGTTGAAACCCAACAAATTATCACAATGCTTTACCTATAAATATGCTTATATGCTTCCAAGTAAGGGATTTCTTCTTCTCCTCTACTCATTTTGACATATCACTTCTCTTTCTACACTATATCTCTCTACCTTCGTTCTCTCTATTTCATATCATAATACTAATGTTGATCGTCTAAGTATAGATACACGGGACATCCCCCCTCACAAATCGACGATCACCTTGTTTCTTGGCTGAAACAATTGCCTTCTAAATCAAATTTTCTCTTCCAAAACGCATACATATTTTACAATATTTTTTGGAGAATGCAGTCACTAAGCTTTGGGGTCAAATTTTTAAAAACCCGACCCACTATAATTCCTACCTTTTCCAACTCCATCACCTTCCATATTCCTTACAGCAGCGTTACTCCTCATCCCTAATTGAAACCAACTAATAACTCAATCCATTTCAATCTCAACTCTGCTATCATGATTACATTGTTACTCAAACAAAAATAAAAAGTGACAACCCACTCAAAGTCGACTTCAACCACTTTATCACTCTTAGGAATGGAAGTTTGATACAGATATTTGGGATAAATCGAAAATCACATAAAATTTATCACTATTTGATATTTTCGAATGCCAAATTATAATTTAGAGATTGAGATTGAGATTAATTTTGGGGTGTTATTTGGTATGTGGAATTAGAATCGTTATATTCCGGAATAACAAAAAATACCAAAAATTTACATTTAATCAAACTCACAACGTAAGGTCATTCCTCACTCTTTGACAACTCGCAAGCCCCCCATCCAAACTATGATTGGGACATGTCTACTTTCATTTTCATTTCCTGTGATAGTGGCAACCGTCAACAAAAAAACAGAACCTGATAGAAACGAAGCTACTGTTTCTGATGACTCGGTATTTGCACATGTTTTCCCCTTTGTTTCTTGATTGTTTGAGCTTGAATTATTGCGTCTTTGGCCTATTTTATGCTAGGTTGTGTTCCTTTGTCCCATTTCAGGTCCTAGCACATAAAGTGAAGCATAGGCGCAAGCTTCAAGTCAATCAGAGATCAATTGACGATTCGAGAGAAGAAACTCGGGCATGACCTGAAGAAGAATGGATTTCTACCTCACTTTATGGACAAAGAATCATGCAAGCTTGTTATGAAACGAAAGAGGACGAGACTACGAGCGTCTGGGATCAAACGGCGATTGATTCGGAGTCCGGACGAGGGAGAAACGAAGCATTAAACAGAGGCTGAGCAAGCTGCACGGGCAGACCAGGGAGGCTGCACGGCCGTGCACGTGAGCAATATGGCCGTGCGCCTTATGCCGAGGACACGCACGGGCAACCCCTGAAGCTCGCACGGCCGTGCACCCTGGCCGTGCGAGAGGGCTGAAGTTCGACTAAATGACACGCTGCGTTTTGAGTTGCACGGCCAGAATGGTGATATGCACGGCCGTGCACCCTGGCCGTGCGAGTCAGGATTTCCTGGTTTTAAGCCAAATTCCGAACCAAAGAAGAGGGAGCTGGGTTTTGGATCCCAAACACCCAAGGGACGAACCAAAGAGAGAGAGGGCGATTTGAGGGCATTCTTGGAGTGGAGTTGGAGGATTTCTTCGCCTTGGAAGCTCGAGGAACAAGCCCGGACTTGAAGACTGATCATCTGAAGATTCTTACTGCAGTCTCTCTCTTCTCTATGGAGTAACTTCCCTTCACTTAGGTTTTGAGGAACCCTAGCTATGTTTGTTTGATTGGATGATTGTATGAGTACTCTGACTGGATAATCTTGAGTTCATATTCAATCTATGCATGTTTTCATGATTCAATTCTGCTTTAGTCGAGATTATTGATTCTGCTTTGATCCTATGAGAGGGAATACCTGATTAGGTCAATAGAGCACCATAGATTGATAGTAGTGGATCGATTACTTTAGTCGAGGGTTGATTCACTGCTTTGTATCGATTGAGAACCTCTTTCGATAGAGGGAGTCTAGTTCAGAACGCCTTGATCAGTTGTTCTAGAGAAGGATACGTCCCTCTAGGCAATTGACTCAAGAGGGCCTTGTTCCTTTAGTCGAGACTCAAGGTCTAGTCAAGGATTCTCCGCATTGTGAATGAAAGTGAAACAAGTTAGAAATTATCAATCGTTAGTCTGGCTAGTGGTTAGGGGGAATCATACCTAAGTGAGTTCCCAACCTGTAATTAGATTAACTTTAACTGTAGTTTGCTAGAGTAGTTTTAGTTCTTTCATCTTAATTTGGTTTGCTAAATAATAAACTGAAGCTGAGTAATAGTAACTCTAGAGACCCGTGGATTCGATATTTATCACTTGAGCCACTATACTGCAGTCCCTTCCATTGGTTACACTTGGCCATTGTTAGGTGTTGTGTCGTAGCGAGTCAAGTTTTTGGCGCCGTTGCCGGGGACTTTCTAGAGTATTAGGAAAGGCAGAAGTTTGTTACTTTAGCGTTTTTCTTTTCTTTTCTTTTCCACCCTTGCTTTTCACTTGGGTGTTTTTGTTTTTGTTGGTGCAGATCTGAATCATGGATCCTAATGGCTTCTCCAATCATTGGGGGTATCCACCACCATCTGGGTGGTATTACCCCGAGACTCCCTGGAGCAATCAAGGCGGAGAAGACTATGGATTCGGGTTCCAGTACCAACCCCCTTACTACGGAGAACAACCGGACCCCTGGGCATATCAAGAACAACCTCATTATCAAGAAGAATTTCTCCCACAACCAGAAGGGCCATCGGCACTGGAGTTACTCATGGAGCAGTATGCTCGAGACTGTGAGAGAACATGCTCCAGGATGGATCAGTGTGTCCAGGCCTATCGTGAAACAGATGAGATCCTCCTGAGCCTTAAGAAGAGCGTCGATGATCTTGAGCGATCTTGGGCGCAACCTGCTCCAGATCACCCTTCTGCTACCATACAAGAAGATGAGGAGGAAGAAGAAGGCTACAAGGACATTGTGGAGCACACTGAACTTGTCACGGAGAGCTCCCGTGATGATCATGATCAGGAGTGTCCTGTCGTAGCCGACCACACCTTCCCACACCCCAAACTGAGCTTTGAAGAGGCGGGCATGAGTGAGGAGATGCAAGAAGATCTCATGAAAGAAATTGCTTGGCAACTTGCTCTCCAATCCGTGCTAGAAGAAGAAGAGCAAGAAAGGGTGCAGAAAGAAGTTGTGGAGGATGACGAAAGTGAAGCAGGAGGAGTTCTTGATCATTTCCCAGGGGTGATACCACACGAACAAGTAAGGGAGGTTGAAGAAGCAATTGGCGTCCAGGCTGAGGACGGAGTTAAGGTGGAAGAGGCATGCACCGGCCATGAGTTACATGTGATATCTCCACCAAACTTTGAGGACCTGCTTGGCAAGGACCCATTTGCAGTGTCTCTTTGCCAGACCAAGGCCACCTCGACATCGGTCCCTCTTGGTGGACGCGATGGTGGCCAATCGATGCTGTCTTATCTGGTTTGGGGCAATGAGACGAGAGAAGAGAAGAAGAGGTCTCGAGGGTGGAGACTTCATCTGCATCAAGTACATGAGCCTTCATCACCTGCCACACCACATGCTCGTGACTTGAGACTCCACCTCATCGACGAGAACCTCAACTTCAAGGAGGTTCTAGCATGGACCGAAACTTAGGAGCCATCGTCCGGCTCACGACGTGAAAGAAGCGCTTGTTGGGAGGCAACCCAACCAGTCGGTTTGCATCTCTTTCTCTATTTCTCCTCGGTTGAGTCAGTTTTGTTATTTGATTTTAGAGTCAATAACTCAACCTTTGTGAGATTTTGTGTGGTGTTTGTGTTCTGATTACTCTCTCTTTCTGGAATGCACCGCCTGACCCGTACATCATCATTCACCCTTGATCTGGTAACTTCGTTCTACCCTCCTTATCTTTCCTCCATTGAGGACAATGTCGTGCTTAAGTGTGGGGGGGTGTTCGATTATGTATGCGGGTGAATGTTTGGCTGTTTGTGTGCTTGGAGCCTAGTCCACTGTCCAAATTTTTAAATTTGAGGGCTCCAAGTACGTGTTCCATGCAATTGCCTGCTCAGTATGCTTTGAATTGACAGTCTTTACAGTAATATGCAACCTAGGGAGGTAGTGTAGCACTATGGAGGATGTTGATGCATTTAAGAAGTCTCATTTCTTCTTCATATAAAGTTGGTTGATTGAGTGAATTAGTGATCTTAGGACCCTTGAATTGTGTGGTGTTGTGGATTCTCTACCTGTCATGGACTCTTGTATCATGTTTTGAAAGTAACAGGTGCTCGAAAATGTGCTTCAAAATAAACGTCTCCCGTGCGAATAGGGCGAAAGTGTGTAAGGGGAGACGGGAATTCGTTCCCAATTTCCACCTACTACCTCCAGCCCCCTTACATGTCTTTCCCCCGCACGAGGCTCGAGACATCCGCTCCTGGCATGGCCGGTAAGAGCAGGTTGGGACCCTTGAAAAAGAAAAGAAAAGAAAAATATCAGAAAACAAGCAAAACAAAAAAAAAAAGGGGTCTCAACCATCTTCAAGAAGCAGAAAATAGAGCACCTTGAAAAATGTGAGTCCATGATCTGTTGTTTTTGAGAATCTCCTCATCCACAATTCATTTGTCCTCTGTTCACTATTTGCCATGATGCCGACTCGCCGAAGAAGTTATGAGATGACTTGTGCGTCGGTTGACCTCGTAAGCTGCTAAATGATCTAGGAAGTCCTCTACCTACGATCTGGGTTGTTTGTTGCTATAGAGGTCTGGAGAGTTGCATTGGTTTGAGTTAGGTTTGCTTGGGGACAAGCAAACAGTTAAGTGTGGGGGGATTTGATGACTCGGTATTTGCACATGTTTTCCCCTTTGTTTCTTGATTGTTTGAGCTTGAATTATTGCGTCTTTGGCCTATTTTATGCTAGGTTGTGTTCCTTTGTCCCATTTCAGGTCCTAGCACATAAAGTGAAGCATAGGCGCAAGCTTCAAGTCAATCAGAGATCAATTGACGATTCGAGAGAAGAAACTCGGGCATGACCTGAAGAAGAATGGATTTCTACCTCACTTTATGGACAAAGAATCATGCAAGCTTGTTATGAAACGAAAGAGGACGAGACTACGAGCGTCTGGGATCAAACGGCGATTGATTCGGAGTCCGGACGAGGGAGAAACGAAGCATTAAACAGAGGCTGAGCAAGCTGCACGGGCAGACCAGGGAGGCTGCACGGCCGTGCACGTGAGCAATATGGCCGTGCGCCTTATGCCGAGGACACGCACGGGCAACCCCTGAAGCTCGCACGGCCGTGCACCCTGGCCGTGCGAGAGGGCTGAAGTTCGACTAAATGACACGCTGCGTTTTGAGTTGCACGGCCAGAATAGTGATATGCACGGCCGTGCACCCTGGCCGTGCGAGTCAGGATTTCCTGGTTTTAAGCCAAATTCCGAACCAAAGAAGAGGGAGCTGGGTTTTGGATCCCAAACACCCAAGGGACGAACCAAAGAGAGAGAGGGCGATTTGAGGGCATTCTTGGAGTGGAGTTGGAGGATTTCTTCGCCTTGGAAGCTCGAGGAACAAGCCCGGACTTGAAGACTGATCATCTGAAGATTCTTACTGTAGTCTCTCTCTTCTCTATGGAGTAACTTCCCTTCACTTAGGTTTTGAGGAACCCTAGCTATGTTTGTTTGATTGGATGATTGTATGAGTACTCTGACTGGATAATCTTGAGTTCATATTCAATCTATGCATGTTTTCATGATTCAATTCTGCTTTAGTCGAGATTATTGATTCTGCTTTGATCCTATGAGAGGGAATACCTGATTAGGTCAATAGAGCACCATAGATTGATAGTAGTGGATCGATTACTTTAGTCGAGGGTTGATTCACTGCTTTGTATCGATTGAGAACCTCTTTCGATAGAGGGAGTCTAGTTCAGAACGCCTTGATCAGTTGTTCTAGAGAAGGATACGTCCCTCTAGGCAATTGACTCAAGAGGGCCTTGTTCCTTTAGTCGAGACTCAAGGTCTAGTCAAGGATTCTCCGCATTGTGAATGAAAGTGAAACAAGTTAGAAATTATCAATCGTTAGTCTGGCTAGTGGTTAGGGGGAATCATACCTAAGTGAGTTCCCAACCTGTAATTAGATTAACTTTAACTGTAGTTTGCTAGAGTAGTTTTAGTTCTTTCATCTTAATTTGGTTTGCTAAATAATAAACTGAAGCTGAGTAATAGTAACTCTAGAGACCCGTGGATTCGATATTTATCACTTGAGCCACTATACTGCAGTCTCTTCCATTGGTTACACTTGGCCATTGTTAGGTGTTGTGTCGTAGCGAGTCAGTTTCCTGAGAAATAATACCTGAAAATTTAAAAATGGAAACCTGCATAGCGGAAGCTTTTGCTGAATTCTAAAACTGAAATATGAATGATGGTAGATTGTTTGAAATCAAAGTAAGAAAAAGTTGAATGATCTAACTAATAATAATATTAAATTAAAAGTATTAGATAAGGAGAAGAAAATTTTATTTTATCAGAGAAAAAAATCATATAAATATATATTTTATATGGACATTTTGAAATAGAATCTAACATAATGTTTAATATAAATGAATTTTATAAGTGTTTAGGTATTCATTTGGAAAGGAATACTTTTTGTTTGAAATACAAGTGAATTCATTTTCAATGGTATATTTGAATAAGTTGAGTAGTGATAAGTTATAACAATTTACTTTTTGAACTCCATGTCATTTAATTGGTGCACGCTTTCAATGATTAATTTGAATACACTATCATGTACTACTTCTAGGAAATTTAGTTATTAAATTAAGATAAGACAAAAATTTCATTGAAAATATGAGGAAACATATGAAAAATTGGTGTGAACAACATTTTTTCATTTTCGAAAACAGTAGGAAACCACCACTTCCTCTTTCCATAGTGGAAACGAACATAAAACAAAATGAAAAATAAATAGGTTTTCTAGTTTTCGTCGCCATATTTATTAAATTTAAACAAGAATGAAAGTGAACAGATCCTTAGCTTCCATATTTTCAAAGGTCACTCTCGTCCACTCAATCTCTTGTTATTTTCAGAACGCCAAAAAGCGGACACTCCCATTAATTGTTTCTAGGCCTCAACCTATCTAATTAAAGATTGGAAAAATGATGTAGATATCACTATCTCATCTCTTCTCCTTGTCCCTGCCTTAGCTTGAGACAAACTCGAGACTTTTACTTTGTGTTGTAGCTCGAGATAAGAACTTGGGATGAATCCAATCAATGGAGACTTTGATTAGTTTTGATTAGACTTTTCTCACATAAACGTCTCATCACTAATTCTTTCAATCATTGAATAAAATCTATAAGGATACACCATATAAAAATATTCAAAATTCATAGCGTAATACCTCAAGGTAATTCTACTCAAAGTCATTCAAGGTAATACCTCAGGGTAATACCTCAATAGCAATGCCTCAGCGTCATTCTCCTCATAGTGGCGGCCCTTCAAACCCGTGGAGTAAACTGCCTCAACCGATGCACTGTCTACTAGAGACATCGAGAGAGCATTGAACATTTATTCTAGATGCCCCCTAGCCACAAGATTGTGGGCTTTAGTGGGATTGAGCAACTTTATTGAGACCGCCCCGACTATTAACTTTAGTCTATGGTGGTGACATGTGGTCTCTGAGACCTCCCCATTTCACTTCTCCAATGCGTCTGCCTACTTTGGAGAATCTGGAAGTTTAGAAATAAAGTGACTTTTGAATTGTACCAACCTCATTTTTGTTCCCTAGCCAGAAAATTCTACAACTAGATCCTTGAAGTCTCCAACCTTCTCCCCCCTCCTCCATCCCGCAAATCTCTCCTCCCAAACCATCCAGCCACCACGTGGGTCCCTCCGCCAGATGACTATTTGAAGATCAATTCCGATGCTGCTGTTTGTGCCACCAGGTATTCGTCTAGGCTTGTTGTCCGTGGGTCAGACGGGCATGTGGTGTTGGCGTTCGGGTTGCGACATCATAGAATAGTGAGCCCCTACCTGGCATTGCTCCTAGCCATTAGAGACGTTATCTACATCGTTTCCTCAAGATCATTGACTCACGTGATAGTCGAAGGTAATTCTGAAGTGGTCGTCAATCAGGTTCGACATGCGTCATAGAAGACTCGATTGGTGGTCCGGTGCTCTGGGAGTGTCGTCAGATCCTAGACTCCTTGTCAGTTTTTATAGAGTTTAGGGCGGTGCCTAGAGGTGGCAACAATGATGCCCGTAGAGTGGCGTGTAAATCACTGCTTTTATCTCATCTAGAGCTAGAATCTCTTAATTTTTTGGGGTGGCTTCATCAGATTTTTATTGTAAGGGGTCCTGGGTAGTTTTGTTTGTATAACTCTTGTTTTCTCTTGATATCACTCGAAAATAAAATAAAAACAATTAATTTAAGGTAATCAATTTGGTATTTGAGAATACCAATACCGTATCAAAATATTGTGAGATTGATTACAATTCTATAATAAATATGAATATTTTATATCGAATCTATACTTATATTCAAATACCATAATGACACTGTTCATCCTATAATGCTATATTTAAGAATTCTTCCATTCGCAAATAGCAGTACAGATTGATTGTAAAATTACAATTATATAATAAAAATATTTTATATCGTCACTATACTTATAATGACACTGTTTATCCTACAAACGAAGAACAATCTGTCGCATCCGCATCCGCATCCGAGTTTACTACTCTAATTCCGACCCCTCCCATAAAGGGAGTAGGAGTAGGACCGGAAATCGGTATGATATCGGTATTTCAATACTATCGAAATCCCTAAGACCGAATTATACTCTAAAATTAATCTCAATCTCAATTCCTAAATAATTTAGATTCCAATCACAATTAATATTTCAATATCCCAATCAATATTATGATATCTCAATAGGTATACCGACACCTCCCATGAAAAGCATCTCCATTCCCACTCCACCAGGACCCTAGGCGATTTTTCAATGTGAGGAACTTGTGCACCTCGTTCTTATTTAACTACAAATATTATATACGAGACTTCTAGTAAGTAGTATTAGTAGCATCCTTCATCAGTATTTTTAGTCAACAAAGTTTGTGGACCCAAATGTCTCCTCTAATGAAAAATGTCTCTCTAGTCTCTATATATATATTTGCACATGATGTGACCGGCCATCGGAGA